AGTCAACTTGGAGTCTAAATTGAATTAGGAAGTCTGTTCGTAACAAGTATGGAAAGAAAGCCATTAGTGAACCAGAATTTTCTTTCTTTTTTGTCCTCTGTATAAACACTATTGCAGGGTCCACTTAGGAACTCTGGCATTAGGTAATTTATGATAAGCTTAATGTTTCCCCAATGAATCCTGCTAAATCCTGTCCCTCATTATCCTATTTGTAGCCCTCCTTTCCTTTCTTTTCCTTACCTTTATGGTATTCTGAGTTAGCTGAAATTCCTCAGTGTCCCTTGAGTTTGTAACTTTTTGTGGAGGAGACATATTCCTAGAAAATGGGCATTCAACCGATTGTGTTAAAATCTGTGGCATTAGTTACTATCAGTCATGTCTGTAACTCCCAAGGGAATAAGGAGTGTCCTTGGAAGGTCTTGTAATGTGGTGATTTTTATTTATATTTTGGGTGTCTGTGAAGTAAGATGGTCCCAAAGTTCTTTACCCTGAATGGACAATTTTTAGGTAATGGCCCAATAGTTTACAATATATGTAAGATAGCATCATTTGTTGACCAGAGTATCCAGTCCTAAGACGACTACCTGATATTTGGCCAAGGTTTTGTTTTGTTTTTTTTTTTCCCAGTCCTATTCTTACTCAGGAACATCCTAGCTTAGGGGTAGAAAGCAGCAACATTTCACTGAGCTCCACCATATATGATGGCTGGCAGTGCCTTTCATACATCTATAAACTCCCATTACTTTTTGCTCAGTTAATCCAAAGGTGCTCCCTGGATAGCCAAGGTGTCTGGGAGAGAGGTGACCTTCTTCAGCACCATGGCATCTGGCAAAGGACTGAGGACAGAGAACACCTCCGCCCCGGCAGGTGGACACCAGAGAGCTCAGAGAGCTCAGGTTTAGCTTCATCCTATCTTAAGGAGAACTTGGTAGCTGTGCTGAGCTTGTGGAGGTGCTGTTTTCATGACCCAAAGCAATGGGCAGCCAGGTCAGGAGGGTTGCAGGTTTGGGGTCTGTGAGGGGTCTCTTTTTTATCAAGCCATTATTTCCTTGAATCATGCTGAGTTGATACTAGTTTTAGGTTGTTGTGATGAGTCTTGTAGAAAATTAGCATTCCTTTACAGACCATCTGCCCCAGGGGGTATTAGCAGAAGGCTAGTCTCTTCAGACACCTGGTAAGAGAGACTCAGGTTAACTTAGAATCCAGATTGTCAGTTTCTTTGCATCCAACCAGATGACCCCACTCCAGCATTCAGAATCCCCCTTTATGAACCAACACCCTTTCACATGAGAAACATTGTGAGATTGTGTATTCAACAGTCATTGTAACTCAGCAAGTTATAGATTTAATGCTTTGATTTTCAGCAATAGGAATCCTGCAGCTACAGAGTTTCTTTTAGGGCTATCATAGAATCTCTCTTTCTCATATGGAGACTTCAGCTGAGAGATAATGTTCTTGAGCTTACCATTTTCACTTTGTAAGCAATAATGTAAATTCGAATCCTTCCCAGACCAAACTCGTAGTCACCATCACTGCCTTAATACTCATTGCAGCACCCACTTGGTCCCAGGCATGTACTGCAGTTGCCACTTCATCGTAATCGACCCTAGGTAATGGATTCATTATGATGTCTATGCATACTATGGGTCATAAGCATCCCATTTCCTATTGGCTAGGTGTTCAGCACTTCATTCAAGCCCAAGGGCTTGGTCAAATCAATTCCCAAATCCCATCCATAGGGGCTTATCTACTAGGACTACTGCCAGAACTAATCCATTATTAGTTAGGAATCAATCAGGAGAAAGAACCTCCACATTAAATTGAATTGGGAAAATTTAAAGGATGTCTTAACTAAGACATTGGAGTATTGAATTGCTAGTAAAAGTAAAGATGACCCTATGGGCGCCTGGGTGGCTCAGTTGGTTAAGCGACTGCCTTCGGCTCAGGTCATGATCCTGGAGTCCCGGGATCGAGTGACACATTGGGCTCCCTGCTCAGCAGGGAGTCTGCTTCTCCCTCTGACCCTCCCCCCTCTCATGCTCTCTATCTCTCAAATAAATAAATAAAGTCTTTTAAAAAAAAAAAGTAAAGATGACCCTAAAAACATTGGAATAACTCAAAAGATGCTTATTAAAAATTGTAACATGGGGGGGCACCTGGGTGGCTCAGTCGTTAAGCGTCTACCTTCGGCTCAGGTCATGATCTGCAGGAAGCCTGCTTCTCCCTCTTCACTCCCCTTGCTTGTGTTCCCTCTCTCACTGTGTCTCTCTCTGTCAAATAAATAAATAAAATCTTTTAAAAATAAAAATAAATAAATAATAAAAATAAAAATAAATAAAAAATAAAAATTGTAACACAGGGGTGTTTGGGTGGCTCAGTTGTTAAGCGTCTGCCTTCGGCTCAGGTCATGATCCGTGGGAAGCCTGCTTCTCCCTCTCCCACTCCCCCTGCTTGTGTTCCCTCTCTCACTGTGTCTCTCTCTGTCAAATAAATAAATAAAATCTTAAAAAAAAATGTAACACAGAATGGTAGAAACAAATTTGTGAACATCTAACTGAAGGACTATATATAAAAGAAATCATAGGGCATCTGCCTGGCTCAGATGGTTAAGCATCTGCCTTTGGCTCAGGTCATGATCTCAGGTCCTGGGATTGAGCCCCACGTCGGACTCCCAGCTCAGCGGGAAGTCTGCTTCTCCCTCTCCGTCTGCCTCTCCCCCTGCTTGTGCTGTCTCTCAAATGAATAAATACAAAATCTTTTTAAAAAATCATAGAAATCAATGAGAAAAATACAAAAAATAATACAGACAACATATTTGAGCAAAACCTTCATTAAAGAACATTTTTAATGGTCATTAGGCCTAGAAAAGTTATAGAACGCTAGTCATTATGAAATTATAAGTTAAAACTACAATGAGAAAGACTACAAATCCACTAGGATGAAATTGATTAAAAAGAATCACAATGCCAGGATTAGACTCAGCTTGGGGACGCCTGGGTCGCTCAGTCAGTTAAGTGGCTGCCTTGGGCTCAGATCATGATCTCAGGGTCTTGGGATTGAGTCCCACATGGGGCTCTCTGCTCAGTGGGGAGCCTTCTTCTCCCTCTGCCTGCTTCTCCCCCTGCTCTCTCTCTCTGACAAATAAATAAATAAATAAATCTTTAAAAAAAAGATTGGACTTGTGCTCGCTTCGGCAGCACATATACTAAAATTGGAACGATACAGAGAAGATTAGCATGGCCCCTGCACAAGGATGACACACAAATTCGTGAAGCGTTCCATATTTTTGAAAAAGAAAGAAACATTGGTGTTATGGAATGAATATTTGTGTTCCCTCAAATATTTTTACGGCTTTATTGAAATATAATTGACATATAAAATTAAAAGATACTTAAAATGTAAAAAAAAAAAGAAAAAGATTGGACTCAGCCTAACTCTCTCTCTCTTTTTTTTTTTAGTAAACTCTAGGTCCAACATGGGGCTCAAACTCACAAACCAAAATCAAGAGCCACATGCTTTACTGAGTCATCCAGGCGCTCCAGCTTAACTCTTGTTTCTTCTCAGACTTAAGTGTGTCCTGATAAAAATTATCTGATGTCTTACCTTTTTCACCCTCCACTGATATTTCTCCAGAGCTATTTCTACCACTATCTTTGAATAATTACATAATCATTATTAATAGCTCTCTGAAATTTGCATTTCACAATTTTTTTTTCAGATATATCATCAATTCCTCATGCACAACAGTCCCAGCAATCACTTGAAGAAACAATAATCCCTCCTCAGCAAGGAGATGAGACAATGGTGTTTAGATGACTCTTTTGTACATGCACTCTGCCTCAGAATGCTGTAGCCACTATCACAAAACAAAACAATTTAATAAGTTGTTCTCCATTTGAGATAGATGTCAGATTTCTAAAGGATTTGAATATATCTTAAGATATGAAGAAATATTAAATGAATAAATAGTGTTGCTTTGTGATTTGGACATGATCACTGAATATACAGGCAGGAAAGAGGTTCTCTTTGGGAACCAGATGCAGAGATAACTCCTTGTCCTCTTACTTCAGGGCGGCCTGAACATCGCTGTTTCTTCCAAGTCATGGCCCTGACCAAAGATATAGAGTTACAAAATCGACTAACGCTTCTGACTACATGCATTTGAAGAGCAAGAAAGTGTTTATTACATTCTAGTTAAGCGTGGATGCATTTTGAGTCTGAAAGAGACTGTGTCTGGGGCGCCTGGGTGGCTCAGTCGTAAGCCTTCGGCTCAGGTCATGATCCCAGGGTCCTGGGATCAAGCCCCGCATCAGGCTCCCTGCTCAGTGGGAAGCCGGCTTCTCCTCTCCCACTCCCCCTGCTTGTGTTCCCTCTCTCGCTGTGTCCCCCTCTGTCGAATAAATAAATAAAATCTTAAAAAAAATTAAAGAGACTGTGTCCATTTAAATTTGTAGCATTTGAGAATAATTGAAATAAGTATTTTTGGCTTAAGGGACAATTTTGAGCTTGATGGAATCTGAAATGTCTCTAACAAGGATCAGTTGCAGACACCACTCTCCAGAAGGGGTAAACAGCTTCCTTTCCCTGAAGGCTAGATGACTCTTATTTCTCAGACACTCGTGGCACCACGAAACCTTTATTCACGGAGGTCAAGGACTAGGACTCTAACCATCTGTGCGGCTGAGGAAACTACATTACCCAGATGGCAATGTGCCTAACGCTGGCGGCGTTGACCCAATGAAAGCCCAGGACAGGAGCATTTCCATGCGGACGCACCAGGTCAGGGCGGGACTTCCGGCGTCCTCCTCGTGGCGGTCATTTTGGCTTTTCTGGAGTCTGTTCACTCTGAGGTTTCGGAGCCCCCGGTTGGCGGCAAAAGCGTTCTCCCCCCTACAAAGAGACGGCTCTAAGGCTTGGAGGCGGCGCAGCCCGGGGTGACCCGCCGCAGGCTGGGATCAAGATCTCCCTGCTCCACAGCCCTGCTCCGCCCACAGAGTCCGATGGCGGCGGCCGCGCCCAGGGACCCAGCTCAGGTAAGCGCTCGTCCCCCGGGCCCGCCCCGCCGTCCCCCCACCCAGACCCCGAAGGCCGAGCGCGGGGCGCCTGCTCGCGTTCCTGCGGCCCAGGCCCCGGTGTCCGGGACAGGGAGGCGCCGGTGGGCGGGGGCCCCGTGTGCGAGCGCCGGCGTGCTGGCGTGAGGAGCGGGCTCCAGGTTGGGACAGGTTCGTGCAAAGACAGAGGTGCGACTGAGCCGGGAGCACTGGGGAAGCCCAGGGTCTTGTGTCTACAGGCAGCAGAGAGTGTGAGGCGAAGTTGTGTCTCGGGAGTTTTACCTTCATTCTCAGAACGGTGGAAGCCAGGGAGACTTGGGAACAAAAGAGGGACGGTGTCTGAAATCGGGTTCTCACGCGTTTCCTGAAGCTGCTCGCAGGATGAACGGACGGGAAGAGGGGTGATAATAGGCACAGGAAAGTTGAGTTCTGTAAAGATCCCCTCACTAGCGAGAGTGCACTGAGGACGGAAGCCCAGAAGTAACGCAGCCCTCTATCGGTCACCAGATCCTGGGCTGGGCTGGGCACTTAGCCCATAAGATGTGGAAGGGGTCCCAAGCGTAGGTAACAGAACATGCAAAGGCTTAAGGGCTCAGGGGCCTGCAGGTGTCCTTTCTTTTTCGTGGGAACTGGGAGGAATGGGGCAGGAGTCAGGTCTGGACACCCTGGTGATGGCTGTTATGGGAGGTTTGGAGGAGTAAAGGCAGTTGATCTGACCGAGGTCTTATCAGGTTCTCTGGGGCTGCAGCATGGAGAAGAGTAAAAGTGTGAAGTTGGTAGGAAGAGAAGAGAGGAGGCTACTGCAATAGTCTGGGTGAGTGTGATGGTAGCCGGAGCAGGGTGGTGGCCATGGAGAAGTGGCTGGATTCTGCATTAGTGTTTTAGGTGTGGCTTCCAGGGTTTTCTAATTTTGAGGTAGAGAGAGGTGGGAGTTAGGGATGACTTGAAGGTTTGGCTTTAGCAATTGGAAGGATGGAAGCTCCATCAGTTGAGATGGGGAAGTTCATAGTAAGAGTAATTTTCATTGGAGATATCGGAAGATTTCTTTTTGGTCCATTAAGGGTAGGAGATGTTTCAGAGAACAGTTTGTGGGCCTCTGGAACTCTGAGGAGTTCAGGATATAGACTTCTCCAAAAGGTAGTGGAGAGTGTTTGGACCAGGGAGGAGCTATGGATCACTTAATATGGGGAATCCTTGCCAGGAAGAAGGGGGTGGGTCTGAGGACTAGGTTTCCTGCTTGGCTCCCTGGTTGTGGGTTGTGGGTGTCCCAACACAGATCAGGGAGAGAAGTGATCATAGAGAAGGTAGGGGAGAATGTATGGTTTGGTATGTGGCCAGGGGCTCCAGGGGACAAGTGGACATGAGATGGATGTGGGGGCATAGGAGTAATTCAAACAAGATGACCCTGAGGTGGGGGCTGGTGCTTATTCTCTGTTCTACAGACTCACCAGGATTTCATTGTATTCCATGGTGGGGCCTAAGTGTTCAGGTTAGGCTGGTGGATTAGCTTCGGGGCACAAGTGGTCATTTATGAGACTTATTGGGGGTAGGGTATAAGGCCATACAGGGCCACTGGAGCTGAGTGTTGAATGAGGGTTAGATGGAGAGAGGACAGCTGTGACTGGAGAGGGGACGTCAAATGCATGTGGCACACAGGTGGAAGAGAGCCATGTGTATCTGAAATCTGGTATTTCAGAATATAAATATTCTTGGTAGTGAGGTTGAAGCAAGGAACAGGGAGGGAGGTCTTCATAGTAGCACCAAAGGCTGCCTCTGTTAGTGGAAACCATCAGTCTGGAGTAGTATTTGATCCTGTTTGAAACTGCCAGGCATTTTCTGGGCCACGTATGCCGAGTAACATGTAGAAAGGCCAAGGAGATGACTGTGGTGTAGGGTAGGAGGGGGCTGTAGCTGTGGGAGTGCAGTTGTGAGAGGTGTGGCAGAAAGTGAGTGTGAAAGCGTGACCACAGGACACTAGAATTGGGGTCTTATATAAGGATGAAGGATAATGCCACATTTTTTTGCATCTTGGAGGGATGATCTGGGGACTTTGGTGGTATTGCCTGATAAGACCAGAGTCAGTTCATGCACACCCTCCCTATAGCTAGCTTCTCTCCCTAACCTGTGTTTGTGACACTGACTACACTGATAAGAGGCATCGTGACTACCATGCCAGGTCCACTGTTCAGATATCCTCTATCTGCTCATCTGCTTGTTGTTGTTGTGGGAAGACACAGTATCAGTAGGAATATGAGGAGAGAGTGGCTCCAAGGACACCCAGGCCTGGTATCTCCTCTCAGTTGTGGAGTAGACTGAGCTGAGGATGGATGTGGAGGGTGGGGGTTATAATGAACTTGGACTCCTAGGAGAGATGTTGATCATAGAATGAACTGTCCACATTATGACAGGGTATGAATTTTGAGGACGTGGCCATTGACTTCTCCCAGGAGGAATGGGGGCTCCTTGATGAAACTCAGAGACTCCTGTACTGTGATGTGATGCTGGAGAACTTTGCACTTGTAGCATCGCTGGGTAAGATTGTCACATTGCTTCTTGTGTCCTGAGGAGACGTCCTGCCTTTCCTTTTTTCTCCAGAGTTCGCTCTTTCTTTCCCCAGCTGGACCACAGGCTCTCCTAATTTCCACCACTTTCTTGTTATGTGTGCTGTGGGTGCCAGTGCTGAGCTGTGTATAGTGCCCCGAGCAATGGACTGCCCAAGCATCCTCGACACCTGTTAAATCAGAAAGTACACGGGAGGGTCTGGGAGTGAGGAGTCTTGAAGTTAACTTAATGGATCCCACCTTGCCTTCTCCCTGGCAGGGTGACTGTGTCCAGATCCCTGGCTTCTAGTTTTGCCCCCTTCCTCTAGCTGACAGTTCTTTGTGACTGCCTGTGCCAGGTCATGGTCATTATTCACATGGACAGTGGGCTGTTCTTGTAAGACCCTCCTTTGATTGTATTTTACATTTTCTTTCCTGAATATTACTGCATGACAAGTTGCACGGGGCCAGCGGTGGCCACTCACTGTGCGTCTTTCATTAAGACTTGCGTCATTCAAGTTCTGAGGGGTTACACAGTGGAGAGTGCAGGGAAAACACTGGTTTTACAGGGTGGAAATGGCAAGATGGTATCAGAGGAGGTCTGGCCCTTGTAAGCGGCAACTGGGGGAGGGCATGGCATCAGGGCCTTGTTCAGATCATACCAGGAACTTGCCATGGGTTCAGTAGTGTTTTGGTGCAGGTACCACCAGCCATGTATTGTTTCTACCTTTTCTTTTGCATACTTAACAGTTTGCTAATTTTAATTTTGTCTGAGACTTCTGGCTCCTTCCACTTTTGTGGCCTTCCCGGGCCACCAGTTCCTCTGCACTGCTCCCTTCACAAGATCCTCCAACTTTGACCTGCACATGGTGTCATGAGGTGTGCACGTATCCTTACACAGTCCTTGAACCAGCTACTCAGGTCCAGTTGAATTTTACTGGGACAGGCCACAACCAGCCTCCCACACAGCATGCCCATGTTGCCAGCAGATGAGGTCCTACTGAAGGAGGAGTGAGGAGGCAGGGACCTCTCCTCCATGTGGTGCACCCTATGCTTGTGTATTGTCTGTTGAGGTCTCTCCTCTTCTGGTCTCTTCGGAGGCCCAATACCACCAAGCAGCCCCTACCTCAACCTGCCCCCACCTGCCGTGTTCTCAGGATGCAACTTGTTGTGTCAGACACACATTTGAAATGGGGCTTCCCCCTCCCACCGAAGTCAATATACATTTCTTCAGCATTTCTGCTTTCAGGCTTTGGGCATGGGATGGAAGATGAGGAGGCCCCTTCTAAGCAGACTATGTCTGTAGGAGAGTACCAGCTCAGGGCTTTTCAGACAGGTCTCTCCACACAGAAGATCCACCCCTGTGAGATGTGTATCCCAGCCTTGAAAAATATTTTGCACCATGCTGAGCACCAAACAATATACCCTTGGCAGAAACCATACTTGGGTGCCACATGTGTGAGATGCTTCTCTTTCCATGCAGACCTTCACCAGCAACAGAGGCATGACAGTCGGGAGAAGCCCTGGAAGAGAGATGTGGACAGGGCCTCGCGTGTGACAAGCTGCAACTTCTGTGTGTCAGGGCAGCCTTTCACATGTAGGAAGGTTGGAGAGGACTTCCCAGCGACCTCGGGACATCTTCAGCTCCAGACCAGTCCCAACAGTGAGGAGCCACACCGTGGCAACCAGAGTGGAGAGGCCTTTCACAGCGGAAAAAGTCAGTACAACGGGGGTGAATGTGAAAAAGCTGCCAGCCACAACCATGCACTTGATCAACATCAGAATATTTGCTCTGGAGAAGGGCTTTATGAGTGTAGCAAATGTGGGAAAGCCTTCAGCTCGAACTACAGCCTTGTGCAGCACCAACAAATTCACAGTGGACAAAGGCCATATGAGTGTGGTGAATGTGGGAAATTCTTGAGCCAAATCTCTGGCCTTATTAAAGACTGGATAATTCACAGTGATAAAGAGCCTTATGGATGCAGAAATTGTGGACAATTTCTTACCCATAACTTCAGTTTCATAGAACACTGGAGAATTCACACTAGAGAAAGAACTTATGAATGCAGTGAATGTGGAAAAGTCTTTATCCACAGATCTAAACTCATTCACCATCAGAGACTACACACTAGAGGAATGCATTATGGGTGTGGTGAATGTGGGAAATCTTTCAGCTACAAATCCAACCTCATCGAACACTGTAGAGTTCACACTAGAGAAAGGCCTTATGAGTGTAGTGAATGTGGGAAATCCTTTAGACAAAGCTCTAGCCTTTTCCGACACCAGAGAGTTCACACTGGAGAAAGGCCATATAATTGCAGCGAATGTGGGAAATCCTTTAGACAAATCTTTAACCTCATTCGTCATGGGAGAATTCACACTGGAGAAGTGCCTTACAAGTGTAGTGATTGTGGGAAATCTTTTAGCTGCAAATCTGAACTCATTCAACACGAGAGAATTCACAGTGGAGAAAGGCCTTATGAGTGCAGTGAATGTGGGAAGTTCTTTAGACAGTTCTCTAACCTCATTCGACACCGGAGTGTTCATACTGGAGAAAGGCCTTATGAGTGCAGTGTTTGTGGGAAGTCCTTTAGCCGTAAATTTATCCTTATTCAACATGAGAGAGTTCACACTGGAGAAAGACCTTATGAATGCAGTGAATGTGGAAAATCCTTTACCCGAAAATCTGACCTCATTCAACACCAGAGGATTCATACTGGCACAAGACCTTATGAGTGCAGCGAATGTGAGAAATCTTTTAGGCAACGCTCTGGTCTTATTCAACACCGGAGAGTTCATTCTGGAGAAAAGCCGTATGAGTGTGGGGAGTGTGGGAAATCCTTTAGCCAAAGTGCTAGCCTTATTCAACACCAGAGAGTTCACACTGGAGAAAGGCCTTACGAATGCAGTGAATGTGGGAAAACCTTTAGCCAAAGTTCTAGCCTCATTCAACACCAGAGAGGTCACACTGGTGAAAGGCCTTATGAGTGCAATGAATGTGGGAAGCCCTTTACCCACAAATCTGACCTCATTCAACACCAGAGAGTTCACACTGGGGAAAGACCTTATGAATGCAGCGAATGTGGGAAATCTTTTAGCCGCAAATCTAACCTCTTTAGACACAGGAGAGTACACACTGGAGAAAACCCTTAAATGTGAGGAATGTTAAAACTCTGTGTATTATTGATGAGTAGCATTCTATTCTGTTGATAATGACTTTATCCGTGCATCTGTTCTGGACCCACAGGTTATTTCCAGGTTTGGGGTATTTACAAATAAAGCTGCTATGAATATTTACATTCACTTCTTTATGTGGATATATGTTTTATTTCTCTTGTTGTAATAACTGAAACTGTTAGATTGGAAGTGAATCTTTCACATTTTAAGAAATGGGAAACTGTGATCTATAATGGTTATTCTCTCTTGGCTTCCCACCATCAGCACATGAAAAGTCAAGTTCCGTGACATCCTTGAAATAAGTGTAGTGGTAAGTCACTGTGGTTTTAATTCCATTTCCCTAAGTGTTCATAATGTTGAGCATTTGTCATTTATTTGCTGTGTTTATCTTCTTTGATAAAATGTATGCTCATAATCTTTGCCTATTTTCTTTTTATGTACTTAAGTATTATATGGAACAATTGAGTACTAGAAGATTTTTCTCTCTCAAATTTTTGTCCTCACAATTGAAAGCCCACATGCACCAGACTTACGCATTTAATCTGCATTAACATTTTCTTTGCTGTCTTAACTCAGTAACACATTAAATCAAGCCTAGGTTTTAGTTTTTGGCAATCCCTGTTGTTCTCATGGTAAATGTCAAATTGCCAAGGTGATGTCACTGAACATGGAGGTGCTAAGATATTCCAGTAGCACCTCATTAAATTCTATTCCCAAAGTACTGATACAGTAGCCACAGATAACTTTAAGAACAAAGGTAATAAAACCATAAAATGACCAGCAAGTGGCAAGTTTTAAGTATTTGTGGGTGTTTTTGTTTTGTTTTTGTTCTTGTTCTTATTTTGTTTTTTAAAGATTTATTTGAGAGAGAATGTGCACAAGCCGGGGGGGGCGGGGAGGAAGGGCAGGAGGAAAAGTGAGGGGGAAGCAGACTCCCTGCTAAGTACAGAGCCCAACGGGCTCGATCCCACGATCCTGAGATCATGACCTGAACGGAAACCAAGAATTGGATGCTTAACTGACTGAGCCATCCAGGTGCCCCTAAATATTTGTTTTGTAAAAAGAGTTTGATTTAAATATGCTTGACTTAGGGGCGCCTGGGTGGCTCAGTCGTTAAGCATCTGCCTTCGGCTCAGGTCATGATCCCAGAGTCCTGGGATCGAGCCCTGCATCGGGCTCCCTGCTCAGCAGGAAGCCTGCTTCTCCCTCTCCCACTCCCCCTGCTTGTGTTCCCTCTCTTCACTGTGTCTCTCTCTGTCAAATAAGTAAATAATAAATAAATATGCTTGACTTAAACTACACATATTTTATTTTTTTTTAAAGGTTTTATTTATTTATTTGACAGAGACACAGCGAGAGAGGGAACACAAACAGGGGGAGTGGGAGAGAGAGAAGCAGGCTTCCCACAGAGCAGGGAGCCCGATGTGGGGCTCGATCCCAGGACCCTGGGACCATGACCTGAGCTGAAGGCAGACGCTTAACGACTGAGCTACCCAGGCGCCCCTAAACTACACATATTTTAAATATGTATTTTGATGTTTTCATACATGCTTGCATCCCAGAAGCTAAGTTCCTTCTGCCCTTTCATCTTTTTCAACATATAAAATTATATGAGATATTCTAGCTTTTGTAATGGCTATTTACATATATATCTGTGAATAAGACTGTTAAGAAGTCCCATTAACCCTATCACAGTCTTCCATCATTATCATTTTCATGGTTGTTTTTGAATCCCCATGCATACTACTGGGTGTCAATGCATAACCTCTTAAGAATTTCCAAAATGTCAGGACTCTAATAACTCTGATAACTTGAATGCACAAAAAATATTTTTAAATATAAATGTTAGTGCTAAATTTTATTGATGGAATTAGCTGCTGAAGGCCGATTGAATGCAATCGTGATACCAATTGTATGGCTTTTATTACATGTGTCTTTTGAGTATTCACCTTACCTCTTTTGTTCAGTGAAGAATTAGTTAAGGTGTTAATATTTTTATATAGTTTAATGTTTCTTCTGTAATTTGAAATCCTGAGTTGCCCTTGAATAATGCAGATGTCTATTTACAGTACTAACATAGGTTATCAACTATAGCTCCTGATACTTAACAGAATTAGACTTCTCTACCTTCCATTTGTCAAATAAAACATTAATGTTTCAAAGTTACTTCTTCAGAAGTTTACAAATCCCAATTTCTCTGCATTTAAAAAATTTTTTAACTTTTTTTTTTTAAAGATTTTATTTATTCACTTGACAGAAGGAACACAGCAGGGAGAGTGGGAGAGGGAGAAGCAGGCTTCCTGCTGAGCAGGGAGCCTGATGCGGGGCTCGATCCCAGGACCCTAGGATCATGACCTGAGCCAAAGGCAGACACTTAATGACTGAGCCACCCAGGCACCCCTAAAATTTTTAAACTCTTAATACGAAGCTGAAATCCCCAAATCAAAAGTCTTCCCTTATCAGTGTATACATATATGAAATCATTACTTTATATTACAGTTTCATTTGCCAATTATACTTTAATACAGGTAAAGGAAAAATAAAAGATTGAAATAATGCAAAAACCTTAATCTGGGGGCGCCTGGGTGGCTCAGTTGGTTAAGCGACTGCCTTCGGCTCGGGTCATGATCCTGGAGTCCCGGGATCGAGTCCCACATCAGGCTCCCTGCTCAGTGGGGAGTCTGCTTCTCCCTCTGACCCTCTTCCCTCTCGTGCTCTCTATCTCTCATTCTCTCTCTCTCAAATAAATAAAATCTTTAAAAAAAAAAAAAAAACCCTTAATCTGAACTAACATTGAGAAACAGCAATGGAAGAGGAGCTTTTCATTCATCACACACAGCAAAAATACAGAATATGTTTATTAATTTATTTTCCTCTGAAGACAATACACTTTGGAGAAACGAAAGATTACTTGTAATGAGTTGCTTTGGAAGATGATCAATAAGTGCCTTATCAAGGGTCAGATACTGCTACCAGGGACCATCTGGCACACATTAATCTTACCAGTTTTTTTTTTTTTTTTAAAGATTTTATTTGACAGACATAGAGATATCGAGAGCAGGAACATAAGCAGGAGTGGGAGAGGGAGAAGCAGGCCTCCCGCTGAGCAGAGAGCCCGATGTGGGACTCGATCCCAGGACCCTGGAATCATGACCTAAGCCGAAGGCAGACGCTTAACAACTGAGCCACCCAGGCGCCCCTTACCAGTTCTTTTAACTATAATCCAGCCCTTTTGGCTTTAATTTGCAGGATAGCCACTGTTTTTTCATAATTATTTTCAGGACTATCAGAGAAAGTGGGCAGTCTATCTTGATGGATTGAAATATTGCCAGTGTTCTAATACATTAGCCTTCCGGATTTCCTGCTAACTCAGCTTCACCAGTCAATATGTTTACTGAAGTTATACTGGTTGCTACTGGAATCCCACTCACAAAAATGTAGAATTTCAGGGGCGCCTGGGTGGCTCAGTCATTAAGCGTCTGCCTTCAGCTCGGGTCATGATCCCAGGGTCCTGGGGTCGAGCCCCATATTGGGCTCCCTGCTTGGCGGGAAGCCTGCTTCTCCCTCTCCCACTCCCCCTGCTTGTGTTTCCTCTCTCACTATATCCCTCTCTGTCAAATAAATAAATAAATCTTAAAAAGAAATGTAGAATTTCATTACATTCAAAAAACAAGTATCCTAGAATCCAAAAGGTGTGATGATAAATAGCCTTTTCCCATCGTGTCCACCGTGTCACACAGGAGCTAGAGTCTTGACAAAGCCACAGGTGAAGAACACCTGAAGCCCACTGCAATAAACTCATGGTTACTAAGGGCAATAAGGAAGCCACTTACTCTTTTTTTTTTTTTTTTAAGATTTTATTTATTTATTTGAGAGAGAGAGAATGAGAGATAGAGAGCACGAGAGGGAAGAGGGTCCGAGGGAGAAGCAGACTCCCTGCTGAGCAGGGAGCCCGATGTGGGACTCGATCCCGGGACTCCAGGATCATGACCTGAGCCGAAGGCAGTCGCTCAACCAACTGAGCCACCCAGGTGCCCAGGAAGCCACTTACTCTTATTTACTGGATAAAGTTTATAAACATTTTGTCCATTAATATTCTCCACAACCTCTATTTGGCTGATTGAATCTCTTGATTCTGTTTAATATGTTCACTTTTTTTTTTTAAAGATTTTATTTATTTGAGAAAGAGAGTGCACAAGAGAGGGTAGGGTCAGAGGGGAGAAGCAGGCTTCCCACTGAGCAGGGAGCCCAATGTGGGACTCAATCCTGGAACTCCAGGATCATGACCAGAGCTGAAGGCAGTTGCTTAACCAACTGAACCACCCAGGCGCCCAATATGTTCACCTTTTAAAAATCTTTCCTGCATGCCTCATAGCTTTGGCACAAAATTTTTTTAAAAAGCTAAATCTGTGTACTATTGGGTATACACAGTTTGTAAGCCTACATCTATACAAATTATTACAAAATTTAAATTACTATAAATGCTGGAAGGGCAACTAGGTGAATATGATCAAGTACAAGAAGAACTAGTCTGAGGGTGAAGAAAACATTCCTTGAGAATATATTTTTTTATGTCTGGAATGAATATTGTGCAGTAATTTACTAAGTGTAGTATTGGGAAGAGTATTCCAAAGAGAAAGTTCCTGAGAAGGGTGGTGCTTATTTAATGATCTAGAAGTCAGGCGATGATGCAGAATCACAGCTTACCAATTTTTTCTTGTAAAACAACTGTGAGCCTGATTCTCTTTGGCAATATAAAGAGCTCATCCCTTGTAAAGCATTAGAAAATTAGTAGTTAGCTTTCTTTTCTGCTATGTTAAGGCACTCCTTTTTTATGTTATACTATCAATAAGCAGACTTGTAGTAAGTTTTATTTTTCATTTCATCTTAAGCCTTAAGTTTTCATTAACTTTCAAATCCTTTTCAGATTAGGCCTTTAGACTTATTCCAATAATGTTTTTGCATCTCTTGGT